ACACACACACACACACACACACACACACACACACACAGACACACACAAACACACACACATACACACACACACACACACACGTGACACAACAAAAAAAACGATAATAAAATCTCTTTCTTTTTTGCAGTTTTCGATTTTTTTAATTTGTTGTAGCCAATTCATACCAAGAAACATACGATTTGGGAAAGAAAAAAAAAAGGATTGTAGGGTTCAAAAAATACTACAACCTTTTTATTTTTTTTGTAACAATTTATTTTGGCCGGGGGAAATCCATAAAAATTGTGGCCGCGACTTTGGGGCCGCCGTCCGCGGCCGCGGCAACAAATGTAGCCGCCCGCCAAGTTCGACACGGCGGCCGCAGCCGCAGGTGATACATAGGTCCAAGGGACTCATATGGAGTGTCATCATGCTGGCATCATCATCATCAACAAGATGATTTCTCACAAGACTTAGGTGAGGGAGTGGGCTCAGAGAAAGGAAATTCAGATTTGGAGTATAAACATAGGCTCTCATGATCTGTCTCCGGAGTGTTGTGAAATTTCTTGCTAATCTAAATTCGTAACGGCTTGTGCATGTAGTTTTTGAAGGATGTCGTCCACCTATCGAAGAGGATCGCTCGATGCAAGGGCCTGAATATGCATGTGTTTTGAGAAGGTATGTTCGAAACACATTCCATTGTCAACCATTGTTTAACCTTTACCTTATTGCATTGTTTACTTCAATCCATTGTTAACCATCGTTTAGCCTTTGCCTCCTAAACAAAATCGTTGTTCCATTCATAAAAATGCATGTGTTTTAAGAAGGATCGTTGTCGCTTTGGCTTGCCTGGTGTATGCTTTACCTGCCTTCCTCGACATACTCTTTTGCCTTCCTTGCCATACTCTTCTGCCAATTTTCAAAGGCATCTTCAGCTAGATTCGACAGATTCTTGCTACCGTCAAATAGAATGTACAATTATTATAGTTATTTTTGGCCCAATTTTGAGTCCAGATGCAACAAAAATGAGCGTATGACGGTATGAGCTATTCAGGTGTAGATGGTAGCCTAGTGAAACGGTATTCACCAATTCG